AGAAAAAGTTATTAGAGTTCTCAGCTGGTCTAAAAATTGCCAATAATTCTTCTACTTGTGGACTTGATTGAACTGAATCTGAATGCTTTGTTGATTGCACTGATATACACCTTTCTAATATTTTTAGATGTAGGAAGTTGCCCTCCAGGATTCCTAAAAAGGCAACTTTTAAAATTCCTAAATCCTGTCAAAAACAGCTTGTCTCACATGTTCCTTCACAGATATGGCAGAGCTCAATCACATACTGGGTTTTCATGTGATTTTTCTTTTAATAAAGTTATGTGCGGTTTTGTCTCCAGCCTACAGACAAGAGGCCACACTTGGGATTGATGTGTCAGATTCAAGTGCCAATTGTATTGAGCAGACAACAGAATGGAGTGCTTGTTCCAAAAGCTGTGGAATGGGCTTTTCCACCCGTGTTACCAACAGAAATCAACAGTGTGAGATGGTGAAGCAGACACGGCTTTGCATGATAAGACCTTGTGAAAATGAGGAGTCATCTGATAAGGTATGCTGCAGAGAGAGGCAAGGGAGCAGAATCTCTTCAGCTCTAATTCCAGGGTTGCAATATTATGGTCTAGAATGCTCCAGATTCAATTGTACGTAAATACACCTTTTAGCAGACATGCAACAAGCCCAACATTTTTGGTAAAGCATCAGACTTGCTGTTTGCTCAGTAACTTTTTGCTATACCTCCAGCAAGTCATGTGAGGTGATTCTATACTGCTTCTCCACTCTGGTGAGACCCCACCTGGAGTTCTGCATCCATCTCTGGGGCCCTCAGCACAGGAAAGACATGGCCCTATTGGAGAGAGTCCAGAGGGCCACAAAGATGGTCAGAGGAATGGAGTACCTCTCCTGTGAGGAAAAGCTGAGAGAGTTGGGGTTGTTCAGACTGGAGGAGGGAAGGCTTTGAGGACACTCTACAGCACCTTCCAGTGCTTAAAGGGGACTACAATAAAGATGGGAGCAGACTTTTTAGTAGGGCTTGTTGCGATAAGACAAGGGATAATGGTTTTAAACTAAAAGAGGGTAGAGTCAGGCTAGATATAAGGAAGAAATTTTGTACAGTGAGGGTGATGAGGCACTGGAACAGGTTGCCCAGAGAGGTGGTAGATGCCCTATCCCTGGAAACGTTCAAGGTCAGGTTGGATGGGGTTCTGAACAACCTGATCTAGTGGAAGGTGTCCCTGCTCTTTTGCAGGGGTTCAAACTAGATGACCTCTGAAGGTCCTTTTCAACCCAAACTGCTATATGTTTCTATGATAATTTGAGCCATTCCAAACAGATTACACATATTGCATGTGCAGCCTATTTTGACAAGTCACACAGTCTAACCTCTCCCACAAATGCAATTGCACTACCTGTACGTATACTTCAGAGTTACTTTGGTCATACAGAATGGATATGTGAGATTTCTAGTCCGTTGAACATCTGGAACTGCAGAGAAATGTGTGAAATCCTGCAAAGTCCACTTGGTTAAATTTAACCTTGTCTTAAGCCTTATGATGCTTTTTTCTAAAAGCAAACTCAACACTGACACTTCTGAAGCAAAAAAAAAAAAGTATCTAAGGGACATGACTTTTTTGCTGCTTCTACACATTATACAAGTGTTCCTGTCAGGGAAAATAACATGTAGCTAGGTAAGAGGACCATCAGTTTATGTAGTATTTTGAGTGTTGGAAAGCATTTCTAAGGCCTTTGCTCAACAGTCCCTGCAGTTTTAAATACTGTGGTTTGTAAAGGATATAGAACATTTGGGAAGAGTTAGAGAGACTAACAAGAATGATCAGAGGTCTAGAAAACATGCCCACTAGGGAAAAACTGATAGAACTGAATCTTTTCTGAATGCAAGAGTAGAGAGATGCACTCTCATAACTGTATTCAGATATTGCAGCCTGAGTTCTTGGGGGATACAACAATGGTGAGTTTAGACTGCATGCAGATTAAGACATGACTGATAACCTTCCAATAGTGAACTGTTAGGGTTATCTGGGGCAGATGTAGAGTCTCTGTCACTGAAAACTTCCAAGGACAAGTTAGGCAATCATCTGTCAAGAATAACATGGCTAAAGCTCATTTTGTCTTGAGTCAGAGGAATGGGCTATGACTTCTGCAAGTTCTTTTTATCCCTCTTTTTCTCCTCTGAATCTAGTCCTGTATCTTGTTCATTTGACTTCCTGATTCTCTGATGGAACTACACTAGCTGGAGAAGTTTTCCAGTGGAGTATTGTTTCAGAATAAATGTTGGCTTGTCTCAGATGACAAGAGTGGGCTATAATTATTTGTTATTCTTTACTGGCCCAGTAATACACTGGTATCAAAGGGCAGATCTTGTAGGTGTTACGTGTAAGTAACTACTGAAGCATCTGCTGTTGAATGAATAAAGAAAATAATTTTCTGTTTTCAGAGTAGACCTTTGTCCTTGCATATCAGTTTTTAATTGCTGTCTGTCTCATGCAATGATACGTCTAATATCTCATCATATTTCTCTTAGAAAGGGAAGAAATGTATCCGAACAAAGAAGTCCGTGAAAGCTGTTCGCTTTGAATACAAGAACTGCACCAGTGTGCAGACATACAAACCACGTTTCTGTGGCCTCTGCAGTGATGGGCGTTGCTGCACCCCACACAACACCAAAACAATTCAAGTTGAGTTCCGCTGTCCTCAGGATAAAGTCGTAAAAAAGCCAATGATGTTGATCAACACCTGTGTCTGTCATAACAACTGTCCTCAGAGTAACATTGTTTTCTACCAGCCATTAGATCTGACATCTAGCGAAGCCAAAATATGAAATGGATGAACTAGATAGCTCAAAAGGTATAAATAGTTACTACAAAACTTGACCCACTGTCAGATGAATGTAACAATTGCGTATCTAAAATATCTGAAGCATATTTCAAAACGGTCTAGGTGCTTTCTTTTTTTCCTGTAGTTTATTAATAAATACCTCATTTTACACTTCCCCCCTCCAAATGTCTTATTCACTTGAAGGAAATTTTGCACCTTGGACAGAGCCTTTTTTTTTTATTGACGGTGGCATAGATTACAAAGTGAACAGCTAGACTGTCTCCTCGGTTTAAGGGGATCATGCCACAAGTTTCAGTAGCTGCAAGACTGGGCTCTAAGAGTAAATGGTTTCCTTGGGAATGCAAGATACCATATCACAGAAGCTTCTGGGTTCTTAACTTCACTTCTCATAATGCATATAAGCATGTAAGCAGTGTTCTTTTTCCATTTTAGCAAAACTCTGTTTTTCAATGACAGTAAGAATCTTACTGGTGAAAGTGTTGCATTCTTGTGGCTTATAAAATACCTTCTATCTATACCTCCGGCTTTCTCTGAGGATTAAGTTTGCATGTAGCCCCTGAAATGACACAGCTAAGATCTCTTATCCCAAAGCACAGCAAGTTGATAGCTGACAGCAATTATATTTCTCTTTGGTACCTTCACTAGCAGTCTAATCCAAAAGCAGCTGAATTCAGTGTCTTACAAGAATTTGGTTCTAACCAATGTATGTCTGTAGATAGAACTATTTGGATGCAAAAATAATATATCTGTAAATTCCTCTTAAATACTAACTGTATTATATGGTGCTTCATTTCTTAGAAAGGTGTATATATAAATAGAAACTGTACATATTGTAATATAACTTTACTAAGTAAATAAACTTTATGTGATTCAAAATTTTTTTCCTAAAGTTATTTTTTTTAAAACTAACAGCTTTTAACAGCTAAAAGCAATGTAAAGAAAAAGGATCTGCAGACTCCTAAAATCAAAAGATGGTATCTTGTGATATTCTTAGAGTATCTCATTCTAATGGCTGCCCTAAAAGATGCACAGTGTCTTGGCACAGGGAAGGATGAATAATTTGTGAGGCATACATTGGGAAGGAGGTTTCTTTCAGAGTAAGTTAGTCTGGGTGATAGGACAATGTAAATTAAGTTAGTGTGCCCTGAAACATACTGGTGGTGGTGAAGAATAATGACATGATTGAGAGTTCGTGTTTGGGTCTGAAGTACTACCAAAGCATTTCAGCTTCCCAAATCAGCCTGTAACCATTTTGTGGTAGATACTGTATGGCAATATCCCCAAGGAATCACAGAGCCTGACGGTGGCAGTTACATGCAGATTAACTCATGTATGTAGCAGGATTGTGCCAATAGGTCATAAGTACAACTGTGCAGACATTCAGCTGCCTCAGCTGTGGGACCAAGTTTAGTTCAGTGTTTATCTGTCTCTGTTAGCGATACCAGAGTTGTACTTATGTCACAACTGTTCTAAATGTTATGGTGGGAAACAACTCTGTCTTTAGAAAAAAAGGCAGAAGGCCTCTCAACATATTTGGTCTAGTGTTCTCCTTCTCTGGAGGAGCTATCAACCTCTGAGGCACAGGGTGGAATTCGGCTGGCGGCGAAGACTCTTAGATTTGGTGTCTATGTGTAGACAGCTAAATGGTTGTTTAGCCAATGAAGACTAAAGTAAAGTTAACTATGAGAAAGCATCAACAACTGGTGGTTTTTTAGTACTTGCATCCTTGAAATTATGAGGCCCTGGTTCTAAAACCCATGCTGGTTCAGTTAAGGTTAGATAGATCAGGTCCTCACATGGGCTTCATCCACTAACTGCATGAATGATAAATCTCTGTAGTCATTGCTATTGCTATCAGCACATTCCTGCCTGTCCTATGCTTTTCAAACAGCTGGAACAAGACTAGTATTGCCCCTAATGAGGAGCATGTTTGTGTATACATGCAACACTCTCTGCCCTCACACTGGTTAATCCCTAGTCATAGAATCATGGAATAGTTTGGGTAGAAAATGACCTTTAAAGGTCATCTAGCCCAACCCCCATCTTCCACTAGACCAGATTGCTCAGACCCCCGTCCAACCTGACCATGAATGTTTCCAGGGATGGGGCATCTACCACCTCTCTGGGCAACCTGTTGCAGTATCTCACCACCCTCATTGTACAGAATCTCTTCCTTCTATCTAGCTTGACTCTACCCTCTTTTAATTTAAAACCATTACCCCTTGTCTTATCACAACAATCGATACTAAAATGTCTGTTCCCGTCTTTATTGTAGGCTACTTTAAGTGCTAAAGGCTGCTATTAGCTCTCCCTAGAGCCTCCTCTTGTCCAGGCTGAACAACTCCACCCTCAGCCTTTCCTCATAGGAGAGGTACTCCATTCCTCTGACCAGTTTTGTGACTCCCCTCTGGACCCGGTCCAAAATGTCCATGTCTCTCTAATGTAGAGAGTTGGTAAAGTTCTTTCCAGTTTTGCACCCCAGCAACCTCAGGTGCTAGGAGATGCTGAGAGCTGGAGAGGAGATGGCCAGGAGTCCTCTAGGTGGCTGAAGAATGGTTAAGGAGCAGGTCAGAATCCAGGAGAGAGAGAAGAAGGTTTTTTTTAAACTTCTTGCATCCTACATCTTTATGTGCTCCCCCTGAGAATCAGTCTAGTTTGTGCAATGCTTTTCTAATCTAATGTAAGCTATCAAGTATTTCTCAGTATGATCTTGTAAATTACATACATCTTGATTTGCAAGACATGCATCAACTACTGAGCAATGCAGCAATGTCTGGAAAAACTTAAACAGTTTTTGGATTAATAAAACCCAGCTAATGCTGAGCCAGGAATAATTAGAGAGGAATGCAGCTGATCACTGATTTCCTAAGAAGTGAAATGATTCACTCACTGTATTTTGACAGTTCCTCTATTCCATTCACACACTTGTGCATCAGCTTATCATTGTTGCACTGCTTCTCCTCTATCCCTCTGTTTTCCTTTCATGTATCTGGATTTTCATGTCATTCCCTATGTTTTCTTTTATTGGGTCATATAAGCAAAGCACAGTCAGCAGGGAAAAACAGTTCAATACATAACTTCCACTTTGCAGGCAAGTTGAATAGCTCATCTAGGATATGAACCCACAACCTCTTGTACATTAAGATCATCTACTGCTCTTAAGTTTGCAGGGTTTTTTCCCCTCCAAAGGCAGGAGATTTGGTTCTGATATGTTTTTTCTTTTATTGGGTCATATAAGCAAAGCACAGTCAGCAGGGAAAAACAGTTCAATACATAACTTCCACTTTGCAGGCAAGTTGAATAGCTCATCTAGGATATGAACCCACAACCTCTTGTACATTAAGATCATCTACTGCTCTTAAGTTTGCAGGGTTTTTTCCCCTCCAAAGGCAGGAGATTTGGTTCTGATATGTTTGGAGATACTGGAGCTTCCTTGCTGAGACACTTCTTGTGGATCATCCATCACTTCCTTTGAAAAGGGAACTATGTGCACTATGGCATATGAGTTCAATTGTAACTCAAATAACTCCTTTAGTATATAGTTTCCCCAGCACTCTAAACTACAGTCTCCACTTCAGTAAACCAGTGCCAAAATGCCTCCTATAACCTTCCTTAGTGCTGCTCTACCTGATTTCCACATCTTCAACCCATTTTGTGAGAAGGCTCTCATTGTTATGAGCACTACGATCTTCACAAAAGAAAAGTGCTACAGTGTTCAAATCCTTACTAGCTATATTTATAAACACCAGAACTATAGCAGTCTCAATGCCTTCTTACATTACTGTAGCATTTCAGCAGAAAAAGTATCTTTTGGAAGGCATCACAAATGTTTTCTCTGGACAAAGGAGCCAAGGATCTGACCCAGTTTTCCACTGTCTTTTAGGCTATATACATAATACCAATTCAGTGGCTACTTTTACTTCAGCTCAGTCGATACAGCTTTTCATCTGCTATCAGTTTGGTTATATTAATTTAGATTTCTTTTACATTAATATGGACAGTTACTGCTTAGTCTTTGGGCTAATTTCAGCCTATTCCTGAAAAAGCTCGTGACATTGATTTTATCAAAACACAACAGTGGTGTGTCAAACCTGTGACATTTGTATAAGTAAACTCCAGTGATAAAACCCTGAACATTTCTGTTTTGGGGCTGTGATTTTGCCAAATAAGTAAATTTAAATTACTCAGACTGAGAGAAATTAAATTATTATAATGTCAGCAATTAATTTTCATGTCTCCAAGGATTCACATGTGAGCATTTCAGGGAACATAACAACATTCAGTGTATGGGTTCATACAGTGATGGGTACTGTATGAACCCATGATGTGCTGATGAATGAAGCACAAAAATGTGCTGGTTGACTTGTTCATCCCATACCCTTTGAATAAATTTACCTTTCCTTTGCTAGTACCAGTGAAGGACTGCCCCAAAAGTAGGTTGGTTAACAGTTTTTGGTGGTAGCAACTGGTAGGCTAAGTACACCTTCAAGAAGTGATGTTGATGGTATCTAGTGTTACCCCCTACAACTCTCTATAACCTGAGAGATGTTTGTGGCTAGTTCCAGGACTGTTTTGTCTCTAGGACTTCATTAAAGCAAGAGATTTCTTGTATTTAGTCTGCTTTAAATTCCTGTAGCGCAGCAGGCAAAAACATATTGCAAATATGTCTTTTTTTGCCTTCACTGACTATGCAAGGAGACCAGCTGTCAGCCTCCTCGACTGATGCCTGACACTAGAATGAAAACCTCAAAATGAGTAAAATTCTACAATTGATTTCACTAAGATCATGACCTCACCCTTTCTGTTTTTCAGAGTAATTCTTGCAGTAGTACAATAAAAGCTTCAGGAAAAAATAGAATATTGCTTCTTTTTTTCTTTCTAGTCCAAGCTGTAATTTTTATTCACTCCATTTTTGACAATTTCTAGGTGTGTGTGAAGATGGATGGAAGAAATTTAGTTACTGTTTCTAGCTTTACATATTATCTTATAACAAGTATTAATGAAATAACATTGTGTTTCTCACCTCCGAAAACTTGTGCTGGAATTTATTTTTCTTCTTAATATTTTTAAGCAACAATTACATTTCAGTTCATACAGGGAGATTAGCAGCCCAGAAAGCAAATTGAATTCTGGACTGCATCCAAAGAAGTGTGGCCAGCAGGTTGAAAGAGGTGATTCTTCCCCTCTACTCTGCTCTCATGAGACCCCACCTGGAATACGGTGTGCAGTTCTGGTGTACTCAACATAAGAAGGACATGGAACTATTGGAGCAAGTCCAGAGGAGGCCACAAAGTTGCTAAGAGGACTGGAGCATCTGCCCTATGAATACAGGCTGAGG